AGATTCGGATTCCTTGGGAAAAAATACGTAAGTTTTGTCCGAGACATTTTTTCGAATCGTGATAGATGGCGCTGTAATCAGTGAAAATTAGTTTTTGTCCATTTTCTCTCACCATCGGGGTGCTTTATTTCGGTGAGTCCCCTCGCCTCTCACTATTCAATTACAATAAATGCTCGAAATGATGACTTTCCATTTTGATGCATTTATTAACTCGAGCTTGGAATGCTTGTACACATGTAGAAAGTGTATCTGGCGTTATTTGTGCGCAAGCATATCTAATACGTTCCACCATGTTTTCTCGAGTATTTGGTATTTTTGTATACTCTTTTTCTTTAAGGTAACATAAAATTATTTCAACTTTCAAAATTATTTCAACTTTCTTCTCTAAAGATAAATAATCCATTATTTATTTAATAATGGCTGAAATAAAGAACGCGTCCGTAAAAAAACAAGTAGCTAGCGTACCAAAACTATGAGGCATCTACAAATGTAGTAAATTTCTGAAATACTGAAAATACTGAAAAGGAGAAACAAAATAAATGAAAGAAATTAAGTCAGAACAATTCTTCAATAACTGGATTCTTTAAATTTCAAGTCAAGTAAATTTCAGTAATACGTACGCTAGCTACTTGTTTTTTTACGGACGCGTTCTTTATGTCAGTAAATAAATAATGGATTATTTATCTTTAGAGAAGAAAGTTAAATAATTTTGAAATAATTTTGAAAGTTGAAATAATTTTATGTTACCTTAAAGAGAAAGTGTATACAAAAGTACCAAATACTCGAGAAAACATGGTGGAACGTATTAGATATGCTTGCGCACAAATAACGCCAGATACACTTTCTACATGTGTACAAGCATTCCAAGCTCGAGTTAATAAATGCATCGAAATGGAAAGTCATCATTTCGAGCATTTATTGTAATTGAATAGTGAGAGGCGAGGGGACTCACCGAAATAAAGCACCCCGATGGTGAGAGAAAATGGCAAAAACTAATTTTCACTGATTACAGCGCCATCTATCACGATTCAAAAAAATGTCTCGGACAAAACTTACGTATTTTTTCCAAGAAATTCGAATCTGCAATAAAAAATAGGGGTTCCTATTTAAAATTTCAAAGTTGCCACCCGCCCCACCCCCAAGGAGCGGTGGCGGCAGGTTAATTTTACACAGGCAGACGTCCCTTGATAATATTAAAGGTTTATTTGGGACATTTTTTCGTACAATGCTTATTTTTCGAAATATTTAGTTGTCTCAAGTTAAATGGGACACCCTGTATATATTACAACGTTTATAATTATCTATTTCATTTAGTCTCTATTAGGCCCTGACCTATTATCATCTCTTTCAGTTTAATAAATAATTTAATTATAGTTGGTATAAATAGAATTACAAACTCGTATTACATAGTTAAATTAAATTTGCAATTTATAAGTGGCATTCAAAAACGATATTCAAATACATTGAGTACATGAGTTAGATAATTAATTAAATATGTTAGTACGTATTATTCATTTGATTAGTTATTTAAAAACAATATACTACATATAATTATTTTAACATGTTCACGATTTATACTGACAATGAAAATAGAACTAGCAGATATTACATTATATTACCACGATTTGGCCGTTCTGCACGTGCGCGACGTCTGTAGCCTGCGTACGGGATATATGTATAGATACAACGCTTGCGCACAACGCACAGAGTCTGCTCTAAAGTGAGAAACAAATATCATCCGCACCGTAATATTTTTCGAAACTCTCAAGCACAATCAGCAATGTAGGAGTATTACACATATTTTATTTCACACACGTATACCGCTGTGTGGCCAGATTTGAGACACAAACAGCAGCAGCAGCAGCAGGAATGAAAGGATTACCGCATATATGCGCAAGTCACATTGTACATGTGAGCTCCGCGCTTCGCATGTACATGGCTTGCGCATGCGTTGCCGGCGATACATGCCGATATGTGTACATCTGAGATACTAGCCATCTATCGGCAAGAATTTATAAAGTACATCCCAGACGACTGAAATAATTTTCATAGTTTTTATGACATTTCGACTTTAGACTTTAATATCTTTATTTATACAGCATATAGAGCAAAAACAAGCATACTTTTATTATATATTTTGGGTAAGCGCTATCGATTGAGCCTATTTTTAAATCGATCGGCTCAGGCATTACTGAGATCCGATAATCTCGGCTCGTCTCAACTTTCGGTCTCGCGTAAAGATACACGGTCGGTCTTGCGCTGCGCGTGAACTTGGCGCGAGACACTGCCGTGTCTCTTGATATCCTTTACAAAAATAAAATCTACGATCACTCTCACAAGGCAAGGCTCAGCAAGCAGTATCTTGTCAAGAGAACAACTTATCAACTTTAGTGGTTCGGAGCCGGCATTAACTGTAGGTTCTAGATACGATGCGAGGGTATATACGAGAGATCGGTGATACTCGCACGAATATGACACAAGAACCCCCCCATACAGTACACAAAGATTACATAAACATTGCATTAATCTTTCATCGCAATGTTGCAATATTGCAAATTCACTGCAAAATGTTGTTGCATCATTGCTGTGGGATTGCAGCAACGTTAAAATGTCCGCCTTTAGGAAGATTGAAACAAAATATTACAGTAATATTACAATGTAATGAATTTGCAATAATGCATTGTTATTGCAATCTTAGAATAATGTTGCATATAAAAATATTGTCTCTATATCCATACAGCACAGAAAAGTTGCAGACATATTGCAGAATAATTTCATTGAAACATTGTAAAATTATTCGGACATTTATCTGTCCGATTTCTGAACAATCAGTTCAATATCTGAATTCCCTGTGTTAGGGTCGTATCAGAAAAATTTAACTGATAAAAATAGTTACTGTCTTTAATCTTACTAGCCACTCTTTGCAAGTTTTATATAATCATTATGACTAAAACTTAAATGCGAGATAGATTTTGCAACGCGCGTCGCATAGCGGTAAACGAACGAACTAGCGATTACCGAATATTGCTTTTGTAATATTTTTGGAATGTTGCTGTCACATTCTTATGAAATATTACAATTACATGTTGCAATAATCTTTCAACAATATTACATTGCAACTTGCAAGATTGTAACATTGCTGCAATGTAATTGCAATGTTTTGTGCTGTATGGGAAGAAGATAAAAATAACTAACGTAACAAGACACGAGTTTGATTGTGAATCTAACAATAAGCCGATTCAAAATAGATCGTGTTTGCATTAATCGCTCGGCTAAATAAGTTCAGGCGCT